TGAATGAGTTGAGTGCCTGTGAACAGCCACTGTGATGGCCTGAATGACTTGAATGTTGCATATCTCTGGCTGTCCAAGCTTCACATGAAGAGCAGCGGTTTTCTTGGTGCCCATACTCAAATCTTTCTCACTCCTTGTAGAATCCAACTTTTGGATGTCTCTAGAATCTAGGAGGACTGATGTCCACTTAGCTAGCTGCCAGTCATGGTGTTGGCACAGAAGCAGCCCATACAACCGCACCGTGTGCCCCCTGCATCCTTAGCAAATGTAATTCTTTCACAAAAGGGACACCTAAAAGAGATCACCAAAATCAATGAAGAGCATGTGCTCTACATTTGATAAGGAGGTCTTAAGCTGAGCTTTTTACCAAATAACAATGGCTTATAAATTGGACTGTAGTCCCCTGCCCTTTCAGATGCATTTGCTTTTTAGAAATACCTTTTCTCAAAAAATGCATTTCCCTTGGTAGTAGAGCCAGATTTCTGTCCTCTCTGGCATGAGGCTAGGATATCTTTAATATCTCATTTTTCTCTTTTCTTTTTATATCACATTGGAGAAACCAGAAGATTCCAGATGGGTTTGTAGTACAGCTGTGGTTCAGGCAGGTGTTTATTCTCACTGTTAAGCCAACAGTCTCTAGGTCTCTGAAGTGTGGTATTCCTTAACGTTCTCCATATCCTATTATATGATTGGAAACAACTAGAATGTGTCTAAAGCCTTGAAATCACCCAGCAGCAAAAGAACACCCAGAGGCTGCAGGGGGCAGCATGTCTTGAAAAATTACCTCACTAATCAGCTAGAGTGGAGTGGGCTAGTGCTTTGATTACACAGAATTACAAAATATGACTGCATCTGCAATGTAATGTTTTCTCTTCTCTCTGTTCTTTGTTGTGTAAATCAAACAACATAGTGTGTATTTTCCTTAATCTATTGTAGTAATGAAATTAACTCCCCAAATAATACTAACATGTAAAATTCAGTGTAAATAAGCTGTGAATGGTGTGGCCATTTACGTAGACACATTGCAGTTAACCCAATGCTAAGGTCCAATTCATGATGTTTGAAATGATATAAAAATGCCTGCAGGTAGCACAGTTTCTCAAATGAGGAAACTGTTCTTCAGAGAGGTGATTTTTCTCTAGCGTAACTGCCAGTGAAGAAGGCAGAGGTAGTGCCCCAGCCTACCAGCAGTTACTAGGCTAGCACCTGTCATATTAGGGTGAACTGCTCTCTAGAAGTCAGCTACAGCTACAGCTACAGCCACAGCTACAATCATAGTTTCCAAGGATTTAGGTTAGGAAGGTGTATGGAAACACAGTCTCTCTCTCTCTCTCTCTCTCTCTCTCTCTCTCTCTGTGTGTGTGTGTGTGTGTGTGTGTGTGTTGGGCAAGGGAATCTTGAAAGAGTTGTTTTTCATAGAAGGAAAAGCTGAGCAAGGACTTGGCTGAAGATTTTCAGGGAAAGATGGATATTTAATCTAATTGGTGATGCCTAGGTCCTTGGTGCTGCAAAGTCCCAAGAAAGAATTGGGGTCACATATTAACAAGATTGGCTAAGTGGGAGTAGGATTTGTTCCTATTCATGAATTTGCATTTTGTGATAGTTAATGAACATGAGTTGAAGGTGGGGAGAATGGAGAAAGTCTAGGGAAGAGGCTTTGGCTGTTTCATATAAAAACACAGTTTTACATGAATATTTTTAGTGGGGAAGGAGATAACTGGAAAGAGTCCAGGGTTGTATGAGGCAGAATGCATAGGATTTGATCAGTGATTTAAGAGAGAAGAAAGACTGACCAGAGAAATGGATGACCCAGATATTAAGGATGCCTTTTTCCTAGTGCTGATGTTTGATGTAGTGAATGACTGAGTATGAGCTTGGAGTCCCTGGACATCTTTCAGAGATGTTCCTAGAAGGGAGGAAGATGCAATATTTGGAGCATATTATGAACTGGGTCTAAAATTGGGTGGAAGGAAGTTATCAGCATGCAAGCAGCAGTTAAAAGTTCTAAGAATAGCATGATGACCACTGGCGCATGAGCAGAGGGGAGGCAGAAGAAAGGAAGGGGTATGGATTTTGTGGTTTCTGGAGAGATGTGGTGTAAGAAGGAACCATACTGGAGCCATTTTGAGTAAAGCTTACATTTTGAATTGGGGTAAAATAAAGTTTAAGTTCCTAATACCTCCCTGAGTAACTGACATCCAGCTTGGCTGAGAGAGATGTGTATGTGGGTAACTTGTATTCTGGTTGGCAAGTTGAGACAGGAATGCTAGGCAAGTCTCCCCTCCACAGCTGAATAAACCAACCAATGAGAAAAGGATAAATGTACCCCAAAGACATGCTCCTAAGGAAGTCTATTCCTAAATCCTGATCAGTAGAAAAACTTGGCACAGATGTTTATGGTATTCAAGCTTAAGAGCTCTGTAACATTCATGCTAGGATTGGGTGGGCAGGGGTGGGGGGAAACGGGGGCTGTCACAGTTCAGTTCCAGAGTTTGTTCTGTGGCCCTAGTCAATCAGTATCAGACTATATATATATATATATATATATATATATATATATATATATATATATATATATATAGTCTAGGTATAACACTGGTAAAATGAGGGATTCTAGTTCATCACATTCTGGCCACATCAGGAGAATGCCTAGTTATGGAAATGTGTGGTTCTCCAGTTGGGGCTCCACTTAGCCATCTAAGAGTAGAAAGTCTCTGGCCAGGAGTCACCAGATCTGCCCTGCTAACTATGAACACTTTTCTCTTAAGTGGGGTGTTGGGTGATGTGAAATAGGGACCCTGCTTTCCACTTAGGAATAGCTTGGTGTCTGGTACTTGATGTGTGCAATTATTTTTTTAAGGTCCTGCCTGCAGAGGGTGAGAATTTATGAACTCTAGATTTAGTAGGACACTTTAAAAGCAAGAAACACTGAGAGAAATCATCATGTGGCAAAGGCGAACTGGATGTAATTGGTTCCACTTACAAATGAGTTAATGCTGCATAAATCAGTTCTAAAAAATTCCATCCTACATTTTTTTTTTTTTTAAGTATTTAGACTTGGTATAGGCTGTTTTTATGTTTTTGTTTTTATAAAAGAACGCTAGGATCTGCCTTAAACAACCGTGTGCAGCAGGAGCCTTGCAGGCCAGGAACCTTCAAAGTCCTTCCCATTCCAGAGAGCACAGAGTATTCACACACACACACACACACACACACACACACACACACACACACACACTGTGTGCACTGCTGCCCCCAAGTGGACAGACCTGGGAAAGCGTTAAACATTAAGATAATATTTTGGACTATCTTTCTTTGTAGCCTGCACACCACCCTTCACAAATGGGGCATAGCTAAAAGTTTCAACTACAGTGCTTCGCCACTGTATAAAATTACCCAGCACAAGGCATCCAGGACACATTCTCTACTGCAGTATTACCTTGTACCTTCAAAGAAGCAGCAGGCAGGGTAAATTAAAGAAAACCCGAACTTTCCACTTTTTCTTTCTTTCCTTCCTTCCTTCTTTCCTTCTTTTTTCTTTCCTTCTTTCCTTCCTTCCTTCCTTCCTTCCTTCCTTCCTTCCTTCCTTCCTTCCTTCCTTCCTTCCTTCCTTCTTTCCTTCTTTTTTTCTTTCCTTCTTTCCTTCCTTCCTTCTTCCTTTCTTTTCTTCTTTTTTTCCTTCCCTCCCTCCCTCCCTCCCTCCCTCCCTCCCTCCCTCCCTCCCTTCCTTCCTCCCTTCCTTCCTTCCTTTTTCCTTTCTTTTCTTCTTTTTTTCCTTCCCTTCCTTCTTTCCTTCCTTCCCTCCCTCCCCTGCTTCCTTTCCTCCCGCTCCTCCTGCTCCTCCTCCTGCTCCTCCTCCTGCTCCTCCTGCTCCTCCTCCTCCTCCTCCTCCTCCTCCTCCTCCTCCTCCTCCTCCTCCTCCTTCTCTGAGACAAAGTTTCTCTGTGTGGCCCTGGTGGTCCTGAAAATTACTCTGTAGCCAGGCTGTCCATAATGAAACAATCTGCCTGCTTTTGTCCCCTAAAGGAATTAAAGGCATGTGCCACCAGGGCCTGGCAATGCTCCACTTTGCTAACAGGGTGTGTTTTTGTGTCAGGCAGAACTTAGTCTTCAGTGAACTTCTGGGAGTGTGAAGTGGTTGGCGATACCCATGTATCTCTCATGGCTAAGTGGCACTTGGACCTATGACATCTCAAGTCCTAACTTGGGATCCCAAGTGATACGTGCTTTGTAGGCAGAGTTGCTCAAGGAGATAACTGGAGAACACTTGGCTGCAAGTGTTAGCACTTGCTCAGGTGTCCCACCTGGAAACCCAGTGGAAATGGAAACTTCAGAATCAGCTCCTGTGCATCCCTGGGTACTACCATGAGGACGCAGGGAAGGAGGAGGAGGAGGTCCTTACCATTGTCGTTACCTTGCTTGATTTCTTCTGCTGTCCGATCTATCAACACGTACAAAGACCACACCACACAGGTGACAGCGATGACATGGAATGTGACAGAGCAGAAGATCTTCCTCCTTTCACTTGTGGTCATCTGGAGTTTTTCCCACTGCAAACAGAAACAAATCACTCAGCACCAAGTTTACAACCAGAAGGTTCTGCTTGCCTTCATGCTCAGATAGGATTTTGCAGTGTAAGCATCCTGCTGTCAGTTTTACACGATACAGCTAAGTTCAAGTAAGATTCTGCATTCAGAGAGATGTGAAACCACTACTGAATACTTTTAAATATAACTTAATTTGTAAGAAATAGTTCCCTAGTCTCCAAATGGATTAAACCAGTTTGTATCTCATTCTGCAATAGAAACGAGGTACATTTACAATATTGTGTGATTTTTGACTGGTGTGGTGATGAGTAGGTTGGCGAAAGTGAGACATGGTAGTGTGTGGTTGTAATTCCTGTGCTGGGAGGTAGAAACAGAAAGACTCTGGGGTTCCACGGCCAGGCCAAGTACTGGAAATGGTGAGTTCCAGGTTCAGTGAGAAACACTGTCACAAAACAATAAAAACCAAAAACCACTGCAGTAGAGAGTGGTAGAAGAAAACACCAAATGTTGACCATGGGCTTTCACACATGCACACACACAATAATAAAATGTTACCATTTTTAAAGAAAACATTTCCTTTCAGGCTTCAGCCCATGACTTTGCTGTGGTACCAGGTTCTAGTAGCGACCGGCAGCCCTCATGACATGGCTCACCATATAACGGGGCAGCGCTGCGTGGCCAACAGGACACTTGAACGTGGATTTTAATGGTGCACCCTGAACCACTAGGGGAATTAACGTTCTCTGTTTACAGCTGTCCTTGAGAGATAACTTTTAACATCCGAAAAATGAAAAGAGATCTGCTGAGGGTCTCTTCATGGCGCCCTTGACTCTGCTGCATGAAAGCTGCAAATGCTCCAACAATCACATGTCACCTAGCTTCCCTCCTCACAAGGCTGGTGGCTGCCCCCTCCGTCAGTGAAAGAATCTTCTGATGTAAAGTGTGTATGTAAAGTACATATGAGGGCTTGCTTATCCTACCTTAAAAACAGAGATTCTGAACTTTTGATGTCCTTGCAGCCACAAGGTGTCCTTTTCATGCTGAGAATATTTATTTATTTTTGCCTCTTGAGTTTCCACATGAAAATCAAGAGAGGAATTTGTGAAGCAGTGTGCAAAGCCAATTCTTTATATTATTATGCCTTTGCTTAAGCAAGACTCTGGAAACATTGGAAGAGCCCTTCCCTTCCCCGGCCTACCGACATGCAGGGTTCCCTGTACAACTCAATTAAAAGCAGGAAGGACAGGTTACATGACACAAAGTCCAGGGTCTGCCACCAGCTGGTGACCTTTCCTTGTCTGGGCCCTGCTTGTCCCATGCTCAGAAGAAAGTGTGTGGTAGCAGTCAGGGCACAGGTACAGGCTGGGTGCTGGGGGCCAGCGATATAGGCTGGTGGGAGGGGTGGGGATAGAGGAAGTGGGGCAGGGGTCCAGGCTGGGTGGACAGTGGCCATTCTTCACTTGGCCTGCCATAAACAGGCAGTGATAGCAGAAGTGTCTGTGATCCTCGATGAAGGCTGACTTTCCAACCTCCTTGGTCAAGATAGACCTTGCCAGCACTGGCCAAGACAACCTTTGCTAGCATTCTCAGTGGCTAGCTACCTGGGCATCAAGATTTTGCCTCACGGATACAGAGATTGCTCCTTTGGTTGTTGCCATGTTTTTTTCCTCTTTGCTGTCTTGCTGTCATAATCACTATGACCAGAAAGAATGCCCACAACTGTCCTGCAACCTCAAGGAAGCAAGGGGACCTTAGCTCAGTTAGCACCAGCTAGCCTTGTGGGATCTGTACACACAAAGCAGAGAAAGCTTCATTGCCATCATTTCCCAGGTCATGTGATAATTCCTAGCTTTCTCAGAGTATGAGGGATAAGAACTTGGAATTCAGCTTGTAGAAAAGTACGATAAAAGCTGGCTGCATTCTAAAGGTGTTATGGAAGAACTCTTTATCCCTCCTATCTGATTGGCCAGCCATCATGGAGCTTTCCTTCTAGGGCTTTATAAGAGTCAGCTAACAAGTTATGCTACTCTTGTGCTTGGCTTGTGTCATGAAATCATCTTATGTGTTAACCCAAGTATAATAGTGCAGGAGAGAGTATTATTAACAGAGCTGCAGATAAGCAGACCCCACACACAGACACTAGTACGAACCGATCATATGGGATTGAGAATATCCACATGCTGGCTTTTAGCAAAACTATATATCATTTCTGAGAAAGACTATTTTATGATCTTGTTCTGGCTTTGATTTTTCTATGAAGTTAATTGGAATAATTTATATAAATCAGAGAACATTACCATTTGCCAATAGCATTTTCTAATTTAGTACATATTTCTCAAATTACCCCCATATCACCCCTCCAAATTCAAGATCATGCGGAAAGTCAATTATTCATGTGCAGAATCTTCTGGATCTTAGTGCAGGAGATTAACATTTGTAAACTCTCACCCCTCTCTCTCTCTTTCTGTCTTTCTTCCTCCTCTCTCTCCACCCTCAATCAGAAAACTAGGTTTAAAGAAACGCACAAGAACTGAGGTATTTGTGGCGGGAGGGGCGGCTTGGTGCCCCTGGCCTGGCAGAAGGCGGGTCTCAGTTTTTTGGCACCTGCATGAACTTGTTCACAGGCACCTGTAACTCCAGCTCAAGGTGGTGTAACACTTTCTGGCTCATAGATATGTGTAAATACAAATGAATAAATCTCTTTGAGACTTATATCTAAAAAGAAATTTTAAGAAATGGAATCTAAAATACAAACAAACAATATGTATATCGAGAATGGATAGGGAAGAATCAAATTATTTGTAAAGACGCTGTGTCAAACAGTAGGAGCCCAGAGGCTGTCACTAACTGGTGACATTAGAAGTGACATTTTAAGGAGAAAATCTAACAGTGTCATTCCTTTTTTACTTTATAAATCCTCACAGAACCATTCAGAAATTCACCAGCACACAGTGTAGATGCCTGGCCACAGTGACCCCTACTGCTTGAAGACATTATTGCATGTGATACTGATACTATGAACACACGATCCCAAACAACACAACAAAACCAAGGCAATTATCAATTATCACGTCTGCTCAAGTTAGTGTAAAACAAACAAACAAACAAAAATCCTTTTCAACAACAACAGATCATCTGAAGGTATCTCCATCCCTGATCTCAAGCTGTATTACAGAGCAATAGTAATAAAAACTGCATGGTTTTGGCATAGAAACAGAAAGGAGGATCAATAGAACTAAATAGAAGATGCAGAAATAAATCCAAACACCTGTGGGTACTTGATTTCTGACAAAGAAGCCAAAATCATTCAATGGAAAAAAAAGACAGCATTTTCAGCAAATGGTGCTTGTCTAACTGGATGTCTACATGCAGAAAAATGAAAATAGATCCATATTTATCAGCCTGCACAAAACTAAAGTCCAAGTGGATAAAAGAGCTCAACATAAAACCAGACACACTAAAATGGTTAGAAGAAAAAGTGGGGAAAAGCCATGACCTCATTGGCACAGGAGACAACTTACTGAACAGAACACCAACAGCACAGGCTCTAAGAGCAACAATCAATTAATGGGACCTCATGAAACTGAAAAGCTTCTGTAAAGCAAAGGAAACTGTCGTCAGAACAAAATGACAGCCTACAGACTGGGAAAGAATCTTCATCAACCCTATATCTGACAGAGGGCTAATATCCAGACTATATAAAGAACTAAAGAAGTTAAATAGCAACAATTCAAGCAATCCAATTAAAAATGGGGTACAGAGCTAAACAAAGAATTCTCTATACAGGAATATAGATTGGCAGAGAAACACTTAAAGAAATGCTCAACATCCTTAGTCATCAGGGAAATGCAAATCAAAACGACCCTGAGATTTCACCTTACACCCATCAGAATGGCTAAGATCAAAAACTCAAGTGACAACACATGCTGGAGAGGTTGTGGAGAAAGGGGACCCTCCTCCATTACTGGTGGGAATGTAAGCTTGTACAACCACTTTGGAAATCAATCTGGTGCTTTCTCAGACAATTAAGAATAGTGCTTCCTCAAGACCCATATATACCACTCCTAGGCATATATCCAAATTATACTCAAGTACACAACAAGGACATTTGCTCAATCATGTTCATAGCAGCTTTATTCATAATAGCCAGAACCTGGAAACAACCCAAATGTCCCTCAACGGAGGAATGGATACAGAAATTGTATTACATTTACACAATAGAATACTACTCAACAATTAAAAACAAGGAAATCATGAAATTTGCAGGCAAATGGTGGGAACTAGAAAAGATCATCCTGAGTGAGGTATCCCAGAAGCAGAAAGACACACACGGTATTTATTTACTCACTTATAAGTGGATAATAGACCTATAAGATAGGATAAACATACTAAAATCTATACACCTAAAGAAGCTAAACAGGAAGGAGGAGCCGGGTAAGATGATCAGTCCTCACTTAGAAAGACAAATGGGATGGGCATTGGAAGTAGGAGAAAACAAGTAACAGGACAGGTGCCTACCACAGAGGACCTTTGAAAGACTCTACCTAGCAGTGTATCAAAGCAAATGCTAAGACTCATAACCAAACCTTGGGCAGAGTGCAGGGAATCATACTAAAGAAGGGAAAGTTAGTAATACCTGCAGAGGACAGGAGCTCCACAAAGACTAAATATATCTGGGCACAGGGTTTTTCTTTGCAGTGGATTCTCCAAACAAGGACCATGCATGGACATAACCTAGAACCCTTCCTTGGATGGAGCCCATGGCAGCTCAGTATCCAAGTGGGTACCCTAGTAAGGGGAACAGGGACTATCTGACATGAACTCAGTGGTGGGCTCTTTGACCTCCCCAACCCCAAAGGAGGAGCAGCCTTGCTAGGCCACAGAGGAGGACATTTCAGCCAGTCCTGAAGAGACCTGATAAGCTAAGGTCAGATGGAAGGGGAGGAGGACCTCCCCTATCTGTGGAGTTAGAGAGGGGCAGAGAGGAGATGAGGGAGGGAGGA